CCCCCCGTGCCCAGAAACATCATTGTATTTGCTTCACGATATTTTCTTGTTTTCTTTAAGATCCATCCCTGTCTCCCCTGCAGATCAGTGAGCAGGGGTGGGTCTCAGCAGGGCTGACTGGGGAAGCAGAGTCCCTGCTGTGGGAGGCTGTCACTTATCCAGCGGGGACACTGAGGCCCACCAGCGCATTCTGCCTTGGGCCAGGGGAGCACCCGGGGGCGAGCGTGGGAATGCCGGCTGGAGAGCACAGAGTTAGACGTAGCAGGATATCGGGCTTAGTGTCATATCAAGGACACCGGGAGCTGGTCCTAAATAAGCGGCTGGGGTGTCCCCTTGAAGCTTGGACCCAACCGAGGTACAGCTGAGCCATGCAACATAGAAGCCACAGTGAATCGGAAGCAATGCTACTTTCTGGGTGAAACAGGGCTAGTGGCACATGTGAAAGGGATAAGATTTGGGATCTAGTGAGTTAAATAAAATTTATTATTGTGATTCGTCGCACTGTTTCTTTTCAGTTTTTATTGTGGCTGCTAGAAAAAGTTAACAGTGCCTCCGTGGCCCACATTCTGTTGCTGCCGGACAGCGCGGGCCTGCGGGAAAGAGGACGGAGACGCCAGACAGGGCTGAGGCAGATGCGGAGGAAGGGGTGGCGAGTTAGCACGAGTTCACTGTGGGCGACCAGGACACCCACCAGCTCACCGTGTCCTTCGGGAGGCCCTAGAGGACACTCCTTTCACTAAAGCAATTCACGGGCCTTGGTGAACCTGCCGTCCTGTCAGCCAGAGTTGGTGGCGGAAGACGTCACCCTGGACCCGGGCCCCGGCGTCAGTGGGAATGACAGGACTCCGCCACAGCAGAGGTGAGGTGGTGGCCCTGACGTGTGGGAGGCAGGGTTAATGTCATTGCCACAAGAGGTGACAAGGCTGGAGTGGCCGGGATCAAGGATGAGACCCAGGCGTTCCTAAGACAGGCAACAACAGTGTTTATGTAACCGAAAAAGACCCAAAGCAAATGAACAGAAGGCTGGCATCAGCCCCGTAGTGGAAAATCATGAATTGTTTCCAGGTCCGAACCACTTCTCAGAGCCATCGAATGATCCCCTTGAGAGATGACCCTGCAGGACAGCAGGTATATACGATGACTATTCCCTCAATCTTTCCCTGAGTTTCCTCCAGCTCCATAGCAGGGAGGCTGCGCGCCGGGGAAAGGAGACCACCGCTCATCCAGGGCCGCTCAGGGGCTGTCAGATACCGGATCTGAGCTGATACTGACACCCGCCAGGGTACCCCCAATGCGTGCTATGGTTGGGTGCACAGAAGCCAGCTGACAGTGAAGGACAGGTTGAAGCCATCTCACGTTGGGTCCAATAACCTGCAGAGCCACCTTCTGGTCATTGCCCCGGCTCCTGATTGCACACTTAGGATGAGTAGGATGGATATACAACTGGCAGAACCCTCACCTGGGCTTCCTGGCATGTGGACTGGGGCCGGTTTTATAGGAGGGGCCAAGCCCTTGAAGCTGCTCCCTCCGCCCCCAGCCAGGAAGGTACGGCAGGAGCAATGCTGCATTCCGAGTAGACTAGAGACAGCACCACCTTCAAAGACTTGGAAAACACAGGGATAGCTGTGGTCTCTACCACGCCTCTTCCCAAATTCACCAGTATGGTCACTGCGAACATCAGGTGGGTCCTGGCGGGGGACTGGGGACTCTGTCAACCCGGCCATCTGTAGATCCAGTTGCAGCTGCTGCACCAGATGCACCAACACAGCCCCTGGCACTTGGTGCACAGCTGTGGATCTGGCAAATGTGTCCTTTGCAAGTCCTGCTGGAAGAAAAGATTAAAAGCATTTGGAGTCACATGGAAAGGAGAGTGGTACACATTCATGATTTAGTCCCAGCTCTCTCCTGCCCTCGGGCACAATGCAGGGGCTCAGAGCCTGTAGGGTTCAAGGTCTGGGTCGTCCCGGCCACCTAGACCACGAAGTGCTGGCGGAGGGTGAAGGAGATCTGGAACAGAGGGTGGTGGGAGGGAGATGAGGAATGTTAGGACCGGAAGACCTGTTGCAGCAGCTTGTCATTAACCCTCCCGTGTTAGGCCTTTTGGAGAGATTGTGACTAGCATCACCTGGAATACTCAGTGTTAGGTTCAACTTCATGGAGGGCGGGGGGAGGTCTGAGTGGCTGGGGGTTGGGTGGCGGTTTAGTTCAGCCTGCTCTTGCCCTCACTCTAATTCCAGCGACAGCTGTGGAAACAGTTCCGTGTGGGCTGCACAATGGTAGAATCGTGCACAGGCATAAAACGCTTCTTTTGTTTTCTGCCTGGCTCTGACACTGTGATGAGGGGACCAGCCCTCTTGGTATGTACATCTTCTTAGGGTAACCCTGAACTAACAGGGCGTGGGAACCAACGGATAAATGCTTCTCCCTGTCGATCCCCCAGAAACAATTCTGAGAGGCATTCTGGACTTCAAGACCTCAGAAGGTCTTAAGACTCAAACCCAGTTACCCCTATGGTCACTAAGTTGACAACCCCTTCCCTTCCCTGCGTTGGCTTTTTCTCCTTCCCTGGGATCAGCTCCCACATAAACCCCCTGCACCCGTGTCCTTGTCTCAGGCCTGCCTGCCTTCCTCCTTTCCTTCCTCCCTGCCTCCCTCTCCGCCTTTCTTTCAAGACAGGACCTCGCTCTGTCACCCAGACTAGAGAGCAGTGGTGCGATCATAGCTCAGTGCAACCTCAAACTCCTGGGCTCAAGTGATCCTCCTACCTCAGCCTCCCAAGTAGCTGGGACTACAGTTGTGCACCACCATGCCTGGCTAATTTTGTTTTTTCATTTTTGTAGAGATGGGGTCTTGCTATGTTGCTCAGGCTGGTCTCAAACTCCTAGCCTCAAGCAATCCTCCCTCCTCAGCCTCTCAAAGTGCTGGGACTACAGGCATGAGCCACTTTGCCCGGCTCAGGCTCTGCTTTAGAAGGGAGCTCAGGTTAAGACAGATGACAAAGCCAATAGTGGCCCAGTCAGCACGTTTATGCTGTCAAAGGCTTAAAGGTTTCTAAGAGTAGCAGCCAACTGTCATGTCTCAGACTAGGCACTGTCCTGTTTTGAACAGCTGGCCTTTCGTGAGTTCTTCTCATGTGCCTTGTCCTGCGCCAAGACCTTTATATTCATTACCTGGGTTTGTTCTCATAGTAGCTCCATGATGTGAGCATTATTTTCTTCCCCCACCCCTCACCCTCTCTCCCCACATCTTACAAATGAGGACACTGAAGCCCAGAGAGGTTAGGTAACTTGTCCGGAGTCACACAGTTAGCACATGACTGAGGCTAAATTTGGGTCTGTCTGACTCTGGAGCCCCCACACCCTTAGCCTCTGTAATATATCGATTTCCCCAAATAAAAATAGCAACAGAGAAAGGGGGACTTACGCTAATGATGCTGCCTTATGGCAGCAAAATCCACAAAGCCATCTGGGCCCAGGTGTGCAGCGTCCCTTCCGACCCCTAACAGGCATTCCCAACAGCTGCCGCTGTTCTTTGCTACGATTTAATCCCAGTCCAACCCCTTACCAAGTGGGTGACCTTGTAAAATGACATCTGAGTCTAAGTTTCCTTAACTGTAAAAACAAATTAATAACATTGGCCTTGCAGGATGTTACCATCGGGTTAGTGTCTAATTAATGATAGCTATGAATTTTCTAGTCAGAGATTCATCATTAGGAATAATTAGGACTGAGTTTCAGGCAACCCCAAAAAGAAGAACGGAGCAGAAATGCTTGGGTCAAGTTGTTTTGTTTGTCTGGAAGCCTAGAAACCCCTCTGGACGTTTATTGCACTTTACTTTCAACGCCTAGAATGAGAGATTCAAACCAGAAATCATTCTGTCCCCTGCAGTGAGTTGAATTGTGGTGCCCCCAAAACATAAGTCCACACCCTAACTGCTGGAGTCTGTGAACATGATCTTATTTGGGAAAAGGATCTTTGCAGACATAATTACATGAAGGATCTTGAGACGAGATCATCCTGGATTATCCGGTCAGCCCCTAAATCCATTGACAAGCATCCTCGAGAGAGACAGACAGCAGGAGAAGAGGGGAAGGCCCCGTGAAGGCCACGCAGGTTGCAGAGAAGGAGCCACAGGCCAAGGAACGCTGGAGCCACCAGAAGAGGCTCCGCTAGAGTCGTCAGAGGGAGCACGGCCCTGGGACACCTTGACTTTGGACTTCTGGCCTCCAGAACTAGGGGAAAATAAATTCCTGTTGTTTGGGGCCACGAGTGTGTGGCAATTTGTCAGAGCAGCCCTAGGAAACGAATACCTTCTCCCTCCCTCCAACGCAACTCTGCGCAGTTCTCTCCACGGACGCTGTTTGGGAAACACGTCACAGAAAGGCGCACTTCTGGCGTGAGCTAAATCTCGAGGACTGAGAAGGACCCTCAAAATCAATATCTGTATGTTGGCAGCCTTGCCAAGTCCGAGAGCAAATGGGAACAGCAGTGGACGCAAAAGGTTCGCTCGAGTCATCTCGCTTTCCTCTTTGGTGACGGCAGGCACCGTCGTCTTCAGACACATTTCCAAGGTCATCTATTTTTGTTTTAGCATCTAGACGTGAATTTTGCTCTTGAACCCATGGTGGGCCCGGGGACAAGGAAACCTGAAAGGTGGTCATTGTAATACCTCCCGGACATGCTTATGAAGAGCCCAGTGGTCTAACAATTATTATTTTTAAAATGGTGAGGGAATGGGGAGGATGGTCCATACCTAAAAATAGCAAAAGCAACTCAAAGCCATTACCCACGGGGGCCACCTGCCCAAACTGCTGTCTGCTGACAGCACTGGCTGTACCCAAATGGGCCAAATGAAAAGTGTCTAAACATGAAAAATAGGAATTCACTTTATGTAACCAGGTTAGACACTTTTTTTAAGTGTCAAAAAGATTTTTTTTCTTTATGTAAATCAGCTTCATAAAAAGCATCTTACCCTGAGATGTAGTTTATTTTTTTACATTTCAGATGACAAGTTCAGAGTAGACACATCCAGGTTTATAATCATTACAGGCTTCTGAAATATAAAAGGGAAGATAATTCACTAAACTTAAGATACGTGTTCAGAGAGGCTCTTTTAAAAATCCTATTCCTACAGCTGGGTGCCCTGACAGAACCAAGTATTTACTGATTTTCCCTGGACTATATTAAATCATTTATTCTTGAAAATGTCTGAGCCAGGTACAGTAGCTCATGCCTGTAATCCCAACACTTTGGGAGGCCAAGGCAGGAGGATCACTGGAGGCCAGGAGTTTTAGACCAGCCTGGGCAACATAGCAAGACCCCATCTCTACAAAAAATAGAAAAATTAGCTGGGCATGGTAGTGGTGTCTGTAGTCCCAGCTACTCAGGAGGCTGAGGCAGGAGGATTGCTTGAGCCCAGGAGTTCGAGGCTGCCGTGAGCTATAATAAGACCACTGCACTCCAGCCTGGGCAAGAGTGACATCATGTCTCAAAAAAAAAAAAAAAAGAGAAAGAAAATATTTGAGTAGTGACTCTACATCCTCCTCGCTGGATCTTCTTTTACAACATCCACCCACAACAGCCTTCCCTCTTCCCTACCCCTCCATCCCCGGTGGGACTTCTCCGGAGCTGTGGAATTGGGGGCTGCTGGTTTCCTGGAGTGTGGCTATTACTCCCACCCACCCTATTCCTGGGTTCCTAAAGCCCCTGAGCACAGGGACATTTGTCTCATGTCAACAGCATCCCTCACCCCAAGCTGTGGCTCACCTTGCTCTATTGGTGCCACCTCCCAGAACATGGGGGTGGCATAATGTATCTCCTGGGCGTCTCCGGCCCCTGGACAAGAGAAAGGGAACAGGAGTTATTGGGCCAACTACCTGAATCTGTGACCGCACGAGGGCAGTGCCACCGAGCCCCCGGACTCTGCGGGGGGTGCTTACCGTCTTGCGCTGTGGAAACACACTGCCTGGATTCCACGTCTGGCACAGATGCCTCATCTGTAAAGTGGCAGTGACACAAATCGGGAGTCAGTGGTGTGTTAGGGCAGGTAAACGGCTTAGCACCACGCCCGGGACGTGGCTGGCACTCGGTGTTGGCCGGGACTGTTCCCACTGTCAGCCAAGGCCCTGGGTCTCGTTTACTGTAAAGCAGCGTGTGATGCCTGCTTTGAGACGTAATCCGGAAAGACTTTGGATCACAGCGGGGATCATTCCGAACTGATGTTTAAAAATCACCAAGGTATGTTGTTAAGTGAAAAAATCAAGGTGCAGAACGGGACACCTGTGAGATGCTACCACTGTGACCATTTGTTCAGCAGACGCACACAATACCTGGGAAGGATTTAAAAAACTGGTGGTTCCCTGGAAAGGCCCCAGCAGTGGGAGGGAGACACTGAACCCTACTCCTTTGTTCAGGTTTTTATCGATGTGTCTGCACCACCTTAAAAAATAAAAAAGACAAAAACCTAAAACGAACTAAAATACCCAACGAAGTTCTCTTACCTGCTGGATCGTTACTGATGTTTGCGTATATTCCAACTTCTCCACGGTCCTTGGGCACGTTATGTCTCATAGCTTTTCCTACATAAATTGGTACAGAATCATTCAATTAAACCAATTCAGTGACATTTTCTTCATCTCTTCTGCCACGGAGCAGAATTCCCCCAGAGCTCTGAAAGAAAGAGTGACTTGCTCCCAAAGGGCCCCAGCTGTTGTCTAATGAAGGAAAACCAGGGACCCAACAAGGAGGCTAAGGCGCCCACTTCTGCAGGCCAGGGGCCAGCCCAGCTTGTCTTCCCAGCCTCGTGGGGAACATGCTTTGCCTATCAGATTAGGCCGGAAATGGCCACATTTTCTTTCCTTCCCTGAAGAGAACAGTCTATAAGAAGCTTTGGAATATCTTCAAGTGATAGTAAATAACCCAGTTGGATTCTATTTTAGCTCTGGCCAGTAATCAAGAATATTAATGCCACTTTTGCAAGACCTGGGCTTTTTGTAGGAAGGGGAGAGATGTTTTTCCGATATATGAGATGTATACGTTGTGACATCTATGTTCAAGTGTTTTGTCAACTGAGTCCATGACTTCTCTGAGTTATGACTCTCTAGAGATGGAGGGAAGCACAGGGGCCTGATATTTATGATCATTTAGTTCTCTTGCCAGTTCTGACAGCAGCTCCATGATCCCATTCCACAGGTCAGAACGCTGAGGCTCAGAGAGGCAAAGGAGCCTGCCCAACACCCCCCGGCTCGCTGCTGGGTGCCAGTGCCAAGACACAAACTGTCTTTTGCGAAAATCTTAATGTTCCTCCACACTTGTGTGCCACTTTGAAATCTTAACCAGAGGTGGGCATGAGACGTGAAGAGTGAAAAGTGGTAACAGGCTTCGAAGGATGTTGAGTTTTTTGCCGGATGTGGCACTTAAGGTGGGGAGGAAAGGAACGATGCTGGTGTTTGCCTTCATGTGATGAGCTTCCTCTAAGTAGCAGATCCAGTGAGGATGCTGAATAACACAGGCTGGGCTCTTGCCCTCAAGGAGCCTGCAGGCAGGACCAGCTATGCCACGTGTAGGGCCCAGTGCAAGAGGAACACTTGTTCCCAAGCCTTAAACTTGTTTCAGAACACAAGTTCTTAAAGCCATGACCAAGTACGTCTTCCACAAGGGGTCATACAAGGAAGAGAAAAGGGCCTCTCATTAAAATATATTAATATTTTTACACCCATGTTTATAGCATGTGCAATAGCCAAAAAGTGGAAGCACTGCAATGTCGGGGAGGGATGAATGGATAAACAAAGTGTGGTCTCTCCATACCATGGGATCTTCAGCCTTAAAAAGGAAGGAAATTCTTTTTTTTTTTTTTTTTGAGATAGAGTCCTGCTCTGTCACCTGGGCTAGAGTGCCGTGGTGTCAGCCTAGCTCACGGCAACCTCCAACTCCTAGGCTCAAGCACTCCTCCTGCTTTGGTCTCCCAGAGTGCTAGGACTACAGGCGTGAGCCACCGCGCCCAGCCAGGAAGGAAATTCTGATACATGCTACAACATAGATGAAGCTTGAGGATATTAAGTGAAATAAGCCGGTCACAGAAGGACAAATGCTATATGATTCCACTTACACGAGGTACTTAGAGTAGTTAAATTCAGAGACAGAAAGTAAAACGGTAGTTGCCAGAGGCTGGAGGGAGAGGGAGTGGGGAGTTAGTGTTTATGGGCGCAGAGTTTCAGTTTGGAAAGATGAAAAAACTTCTGGCTATGATGGTGTTTTTGGTTGCACAACAATGTGAATGTACTTAATGCCACTGAGCTGTGCACTTAACCATGGTTAAAATGGTAAATTTTCTGCTATGTATATTTTACGACCATTAAAAAATAATGTGAAGAAGAGTCCAAAAAAATTATTAATTATTTTTAGATGGTGACAGCAGAGCATTAAACCAAATGTGGAGCCCTCCTTGGCATGGGCACTATGCAACTGCCCAGCTTGCATGCCCATGAAGCTGTCTCTGCCGCAATCTAATTCAGAAAAGGCTTTCACTGGAGAAATGAGAGTTATAACTATGTGTAAACCACTCAGGAAGTCTATTTTGTTTATCCTTCCCTTTCTCATCTTTTCTTCCTATTTTCCCCATTCCATTTCTGATCCATCTTTTCCCCTCCTCCTCGCCCTCTGCCCTGCTGTCTGTATCCAAAACCCATGGGAAAGCAATGGCAAAGTGCCTAGAGAACTTACTTGCTTTGTATTTTGGTAGTATCCAAAAAGCCAGAATTAGGACTGTCACCGTCAGCATCAGTAATAGCCCCGGAAGCAGTAGCTGCAGGCAGAAAGGACAGCCACCTCCGCCTGGAAGAAGACAGCATTCACCGGTGACCACAGCACTTTCTTTCCCAATGACACTGAGCTGGTAGATGTCCTAGAAAGGACAATCACAGCTGTCTCCCAAGGTAACCAGCATACTATGCATCCAAATTCCCAAACTGCTATAGATATCTGCTCGTGAGACTTATTAGTCAATGAAGTTCTCATAGTCATGACCAAGCACGTCTTCCACTGGGTCATACAAGGAAGAGAAAAGCAGCACAGCATTTAACAGGTGATGACTGGCAGTGTTGCTAGGGTCATAAGCATCAGAAAGGCTGGAGCATCTATTGGGCAGAGCCCTTAGCCATGCTGGCATGACTGTGTCACCCAAACAGCCACCATTTATTATTAGCTACATGCCAGACACTGTGTTGGGCACCTTGCACGTGTTGCCTTATTTATCTCATTGGTACTCCCTTTTTATAGATGAGGAAAGTAAGACTCAGAGAGGTTAAGTGATTTTCCCAAGATCACACAGCCAGTAAATGGAAGGGCTGTGATTCGTAGCCAAATGTTTGGCTGCCTCACTTGTTTAGAGCTCACTGAACACCAGTGTGGGGGCTCTGTTCTTCCAAAGATGTGGCTGGGTGAAGTGTTCAATGTCTAAGGAGGCCTTCTGCCTTTGCTAACCTAGTTTTTCTTCTATCCTTCTCCTACCTTGACAAATGCACCTTCATAAGGACCTGGAAGGTCAGGTTTGAATCTAGAATTCTCAGACTCTCTGGAGTTCTGCACCAGAACACGGCAGCATGGGGAGAGCCCACCGCAGTCCTGGCCCGCCCCCTTCCCGCCGGCACCTAAGGGGCCCTACATGCACATGGGCCCCCAGCCTGCATGTCCAAACACTGTCCTTACTGCACCCTCAACGGCTCCCTTGGCTCGGGTCCAGGGAAGCTCACACCCTCGCTGTGGACCACCCTTGGAAAAACCAGCTGGGGAAGAGACTTGTGCACACCCTGGAAGTGGGTTCTGATCTGATTGGGCAGGGAATTTGGGTCCAGGTCCCCAGAGTGTGGGACAGAAAAGTAGGCATATAGCATCCAAGTGGGCGCATCCCCATCGCTCCCTGGACCCCTCAGCCTACGGGGAGGGGCATAGCCCAGAGGCACCAGAGCAGAGCCCTTCCAACCCCGCGGTGGGTCAGGGGCCCCTCTTGCCCTGAGCCAATGATCACCAAACCTTAGCAGTGGGGCAATAAACAGCCAAGCAGAGGGCACAGGTGTTAGAAGGCAATAAAAAAATTACGAAAAAGCAAAGAAAACCAAAAGACTTACATTTCCCCAAGAGAAATGGGGAAAAGGTACAGCTGCTTAGAACCCAGGTAATGGAAGGGCAGGGCAGGAAGCAGGGTCAGGGCAGAGAGTCTCACCACAAGCCCCTTCCTGACCCAGCTTCTAGGCTTTCCTATGGCTCCTTTACGGCAGACAGCAACCCCATTAGAGTTTGTGTGGACCCTGCCACAGGAACCCTGGAACTGGAAACAGGTGGCCAAAGTGGGAAATGCGTGGGCAGGGGTTTCGCTTGTTTCTGGAAGCAAGTCCAGACCCTGTTGAAAGAACTCAGGTCGCCCTTACCTGTCGAGGTCACGGTGACAAGCCAGCTGTACTTTGTGTGGCTAGGCAGACTGTTTCTGGCTTCACACCTATACTCTTCCTCTTCTCCACTGTTCTTCCTGGTGAAGTTAAATTCAGCAGGCTCCCTTCTGTTCTTGGAAATAGCTGGTGATATGGTGACGTTTTTTTCAAAGAAAGTGTAATTGATGGGCAGCGAGCCATTGACTGAGATGCAGTGTAGTGTTACGTGTCGTTCTGTTTCTGTTTGAGTGACCGTGACGCTCAGCACTGGGGCAGTCACCGGCTCTGCAAGGATGAAGGTGCGTGTGAGAGGGGTACGCAGATTGGGTTCACTCGCTCAGGCCACAGATGGAGACGAACCCCCTGCTCTGTTCCAGGCGGTGGACCCAAAGACGAATGACCCTCTTCCTGAGGAGTCAAGAGGCCGCAAGCCAGCAGGAAGGCGAAGGGGCGTGTGACTAACGCCATGCCGCGTACTGAGAAAGCCAGACGGTGGGGGGTGTCTCTGTGCTTTGAAGACTTGGGGTGCAAACTTGCCTTTCAGAGAATTCACAATCTGTTATTGCTAGTGAGGAATATAATTTTGTCAATGATCCAGTTTCATGTATGAAGTTGAGAGGTGCTTTTGTTCTCAATCCTTACAAGGTTACAACGGTTTTTAAAATTTATTTATTTATAAATTTTTTTAGAGACATGGTCTTGCTATGATGCCCAGGCTGGACTCAAACTCTTGGCCTCAAGCGATCCTCCTGCCTCAGCTTCCTGAGTAGCTGGGACTACAGATGTGCACCATTGTGTCTGGCTCTGGGAATTTTGTCTTTTTTAAAAGAAATCCCACAATATCATTTTCTCTAACTGTATTTTCATTTATAGAATTCAGCTGTGTAGTTATCTTTCGCATCCTCCACAAAGCGGTTAGTAACCCTGCTTAAATAGATGCAAGCGAAACTCCCAACAGGAAGTGTGTAGGACTGGTTGTCAGGCCAGACCCCATTTTGTGGGAGAACCCAGCTACACGGTTTGTTTGTTTTGTTTTTTCAGACTTTTGCCTGAGGCCATAAGACTATTATCTGAAAGTGAAATGGAATTATTAAGAATAAACATCTAAGTGACATAGGCTCCGGGCTCTTGAGTAAGTTTTCACAAGGGACATGGAGAGCCCTTCATAGAAGAGGAAAGAATCCCACTAACTGCGGGGCCTCCACTTACCAACAATGGTGAAGTTGAGCTCACGACTATATTTTCCGCATTGTAAAACTTCAGCTTTGCATTTGTAGGGGCCCGAGTCAGGCACTTCTGAGATGTTGAGGTTAAAAATCACGGGTTTGCCTGTTCCATTCTGGGTTCCCAAGTATTTACCATGCCGAAACAACGAATAGGTGATCTGCAGTGATTTGTTCTCATTGAAACAAAACAGAGACACATTTTGACCCTTCATGACCACATTAGTTTCTGAGTACAACCTTGGAGAAGGGAATTCTGGAAGATAAAACGACACAAGAAAAGGTCCTTGTTAAAATCCTTTGATAATAACTTAGTGGTTGTCTAGCCATATTTTTATGGGGCCAGGTGGTAGGGACACTCTGTTGCTGGTGAGCTATCCTAAGGGAGGCATCTCCTGCCTGCACAGCCAGACTGACCGGCGTGTAAGGAGCCTCCGGGCCTGCAGCAGGAGTGGACTTGACCATGTAGACTCTTCTGTGCTTGCTACCTCTCTTGCCGGTGAGAGCCTGAAGTGGCCTCTATTAAGATTAGCTATGCTGGCCGGGCGCAGTAGCTCATGCCTATGATCCTAGCACTCTGGGAGGCTGAAGCAGGAGGATCATTTGAGCTCAGGAGTTCGAGACCAGCCTGAGCAAGAACGAGACCCTGTCTTAAAAAAAAAAAAGAACTCTTTATACTGTAACAACAACAACCTTGGCTAGCCTGTGTCGACAGCTTACTCTATGCCAGCCACTGTGCCGAAGAACAGGGATCGTCTCATTCAAGCCTCACGGCAACCCTCCTAGGTGGGTGCATTGATTATCTTACTTCACACATGAAAGAAATTAAGCTGAAAAGTGTCATGTCACGTGTTTAAGCTGCCCGCTGCTAGGCAGCAGAGCCAGGTTTAGGACCCAGGTGGTCTAACGCTAGGGGAGGCTGTCTCCTGATACATATTTCTACTCTTGCTTGAATTATTTTACAATAACTCTGTGTTGGTTTTCTAGTTAAAACACAGTAACAACAAAACAACAACGAAGTTAAAAATTTTTCATTGTAAAAACAATCTTAATATTTTGTTACTGAGTCTCCGAAAAAAGGCTCTAGCCGCCTCCCTAAAATCATTTTATTTTAAACAGTAGGTAATGGAAAAGACTTTGCTCTTTGGTTGTTCATCTAGAAGCATAGAGAAACTTATTAATGCATGCTCAGGTTTAAAGTGGGCCGTCTCGGCTGCACGCGGTGGCTCACGCCTGTAATCCTAGCACTCCAGGAGGCTGAGGCGGGCGGATCGTTTGAGATCAGGAGTTTGAGACCGGCCTGAGCAAGAGTGAGACCCCGTCTCTACTAAAAATAGAAAAATTAGCCAAGCAACTAAAAATAGAAACAAAAAATTAGCCAGGTATGGTGGCAAGCTGTAGTCCCAGTTACTCGGGAGGCTGAGGCAGGAGGATCGCTTGAGCCCAGGAGTTGGAGGTTGCTGTGAGCCAGGCTGATGCCACGGCACTCTAGCCCGGGCAACAGAGCGAGACTCTGTCTCAAAAAAATAAATAAATATAATAAATAGTAAATAAATAAGACCGTCTCGCCACTTCAGCAAACACAGTTTTAGTAAGAGAGACGTAAATGAAACTCACCATCTGTTTTCATCGTCCCACAGTCCAGTACGGCATTTTGAGCTGAAAGAGAGAAAAGGAACACGAGAAAGCTCACTTTCCACATGACATTTGGATTTGAAGATTCAAGCCTCAGAATGACATGTAGGGCTCACATGTGACAGAAGAAAACGTGCCCCAGAAGAGCAGCGTGTTCAGGTGGCTCCGCATTCTCCCGAGTGAAGTCAGAGAGGAGGGTGAAGCAGGTTCGGAAGCCGGGCGGTGGTGAGTCACTCAGAGGACTTCCTTTTTTTCTTGATCTCATTAAGGAAGTCAGAGGGTCTGGACACATTTTGCACAATTTGACCAGTGGGTTGGACCAACCTCTGTTCCTCCCTGAGTTCTCGCAAGAAGAGAGAGATTTGGTAGGCTGCCCCTAACTCGGGACGGCTGGGCATTTGGAAGCGGGAGAAAGACAAAAGTCTGTTACATTGTGTTTGTGTCAACCCGCCTGGTCACCTGTGTCTGCACTGTCTACATCCCGAGGAATTTAGTGTAAGTTTGGTTTAGTCTTTGGAAACAAACGTTGACTGTCTTGAGCAGACGCCCACAAACATGGGCTCAGAAAGGCCTGCTTTTGTTAAATGCTGGTTTCTAGGCCCCATTGCAGACTTACTGGGGTTGAAGCCTGGGACTTTGATATTTTTAACAAGGGCCCTAAGCAACTCTTTGTTTTTGTTTTTTTTTTTGAGACGGAGTCTCGCTCTGTTGCCCTGTTGTCCAGGCTAGTGTGCTGGGGTGTCAGCCTAGCTCACAGCAACCTCAAATTCCTGGGCTCGAGTGATCCTCCTGCCTCAGCCTCCTGAGTAGCTGGGACTACAGGCACGTGCCACCATGCCCGGCTAATTTTTTGTTTCTATTTTTAATTGCTTGGCTAATTTTTCTGTTTTTAGTAGAGACAGGGTCTTGCTTTGCTCAGGTTGGTCTCAAACTCCTGAGTTCAAGCAATCCTCCCGCCTTGGCCTCCCCGGAGTGCTAGGATTACAGGCGTGAGCCACCGCGCCCGGCCTCTGCAGTGTTCTTCATCAGCTTCCTGTCACTTTTCAGCTACCACTGCTGGCTAGTTGGGAAAAAACCAGGACAACAATAGGATCATTCCACGTACTCGCTTTTTCATATAGACCCGTGGAAATGGTTTCTCTCTCAGATCCAGTGCAAATTGGAGACAAATCTTTGGTAATGAACAGAAATATTGGCAACTTGTAATTATGGACTGGTGTTTTCAGTTCTATTTGGAAGAAAGTGATCACTGAAATGAAATAAAGTATAACAGATACATGTTCTGTTTTATCTATCATCTACCTATCTGTCTATGCCTTTGTCCGAATGGCTGTTCCACTGAAGCACCACTCCAGAGCAGAAAGATACTTTAATCTTAAATGTCCATTTGTGCAACATTGACTTACAGCTACAAAAAAAGTGACTTAATTTTACTTTGGAAATAATGCTATAATAGGAGCCATCAAATCACATGTTTAACCTAGGATGTGTATTTTTTTTTGATACTTGAGCTACGTTATTAGAGTTGCTTCTTAGGATCCATATGAATTTTCACTCCAAACACTCAAGCTACTAACTCGTCGTAAGTGGAGCACACGTAGGACAGCGTGGTGGCTGCAAGTGAGCAGGGACATCCGAGTGGCCGCTGCTTGTACTGTATAAGGAAAAAGAGAATAACTGCTTTTTAAAAATTGGGTGTTTGCTAATTTATAATTACCATTTTATGCTTTTCAACATTTTGAATAAAGATTTTTTTTAATAGTGTTGTAGAAGAATATTTCATGATGTGGCAAGAGGATCATAATATAGTCAAGGAAAAAGAAAAGCCATTATAAACGTTTGTAATAACATGAAACATTGTTTAAAATAAGAAAGTACATAATTTATATGCATACAAAAACTGGAGGGATATTTTCTGAAAATGTTCACAGTAGCCATATCTGGATGGTAGAATCATGGGAGATTTAAAAAAAAATTTTTTTTAATATTTTTTTTTCTAGTTTATTCAGCAGGTGCGTTGTTATACCCTCCTTAGCAGATTCCGATTTCCATGGCCACTGTCCTGCTGAATTATGGAAGATTTTAATTTTCTTATTCCAGTTTCACTTTGGATTCTTTTTTCTGCATTAATAATCTCCTTATTATGGAGAAGGGGAAAGGAGGGGAATAATTCCTGACCTTGACACTTTTCCTTGGTCCTCAATAGGAGAGGAAGAGCCTCCTCCAAGCTTGGAAGTACGGTTGACTAAGCCAGGGCAGGAGGGTGGGGACGTTCCCCAGAGGCCCAGGCTCAAAACCACCGAGTTACTGAGAAGGGTAAAATCACATTTACATAGAAGGTAAAAATAAAGTCCCTTCCTGCAAGGCCCCACCTGGGGCCCATACCTGCACTTGGGCAACCCATAAGCTTGCAAACTTCCTTCTTTCCTTCAGCGTCTACTTCCTTATGAGAAAATAACTGTTTTGAGTCCAGTAAATTACAAAAATTGAAACAGCACACTGAACAAAGAGCCCATAGGTATGAGCATAATTCATTTCCATTTATTGTCCTTGCCCCCAGGAGTGTCGTCAGCCCTCCCTCCCCTGCAGTTTCCCCAACATGCAGTTCATTGTGAATTGTGGCTGGTGGTAATAGTGGCAGCTGTTGTTTATCGACTAGGTCAGCCCCGTGCGAATGCTTTCCCCTGTGATCCCGTTCGACCCTCTGTGGAGGATTGTCGGCTCCATTGGCTCCGCACGGGAAACTCAGCTCGTACGTAGCATGGCGGGGATTCAAACCCTGATCTCTCTGAAGCCAAAGCCTGGGCTCCCACCCCTTCTCTACGGCCTCTGTCTGCTATGTCTGCACCCACGATCAGAACCTTCTTGACTTTAAGTCTTGGAATCTCTAAATCACAAGACGGATTGGCTTGCGGTTCACGTCTACCAGATCCAGAACTCTCCTGGCTGTGTGCAGTGTACACAGAGGTAAAGCCACGTATTGCAGTCTCACCAGTCTGAAGCGGAGGGTGGGAAGTGGTGGGGGACTTCCCAAGTGGAGGGAGCCATGACTGGTCAGGGCCACTTGGGTTGCCACTGATTGAGTCTCGTTGCCACACAGGGTTGGCCCTGTAGGTCCTGCATGTTCCTGTGGACAGGTGCCTCTCTGTGGGGAAGCCAGGTCCTTGCCCAGCTGTGGGTTCTCCCAGGATATTGTCCCGCCTTCATTGTTGACTCACCTCAGGTGTCCGGGTCCCAGCCCGCGGTGGTCAGTCATTCCAGGGCCCTCCCCCCGTCACGGCCGGGGGTCTGAGCAGACCCAGGGCCTGCTGCCCTCACCCCGCTTCCACTCTGCCTGGCCACCACCATCTAGAAGCAAATCATCTTCAACCCTCGGTTCACAGAAGGCCTTTATTCCCCCAACAGTAAAAGTTACCTCTCAGGTATCTACTCTTCTATAAAAAGATGACACCAAGTGAATCACAGTGCTTTTCATGCTGTGATACTGGTGGCAATTTCTCTCACCAAAAAAGGGGACTAGAGCCCCACAGGTTTAATCTCTGGTGAGATGATCCTCAATGCTTGAATTTCTGCTAAAGGGAATTGGCAGTTTCGCAGGCATTACAATTTTGACACTTTCCCCATCAGCGTGGCCTCCAACCCTGACTGGGCAGAGGGTAGGGCTGTGTCCCTGAGAGGGTGCCTGGGAGGACCCAGGGCCTTTCAGAAAAGCTGACGTGTCTGGAACTCTCGGCTATAAGCAGGAAGCTTGCTGACCGCAGATCTGACACAAAGACAGCAGATGAAACCAGGGGAAATACTGCCTATAGCTGCTAGCAAATGTTGCTAAAAAAAGTAGGCTCTTCAGAGCATTGAACAGTTCCTTTAAAACAGTGCTTCTCAGGCTGGGTGCGGTGGCTCACGCCTGTAATCCTAACACTCTGGAGGCCAAGGTGGGAGGATCACTTGAGCTTAGAGTTCGAGACCAGCCTGAGCAAGAGCCAGGCCCTGTCTCTACTAAAAATAGAAAAATTAGCAGGGCATGCTGGTGCGCACCTGTAGTCCCAGCTACTCGGGAGGCTGAGGCAGGAGGATCGCTTGAGCCCAGGAGTATGAGGTTGCTGTGAGCTAGGATGATGCCACAGCCCTCTAGCCCAGGCGACAGAGTGAGAGACTATCTCAAAGTAAACAAATAAATAAAAATAAAACTCATTTTTTGGGGATAAAGATAACTTGGCAGCTCTCCTAAAGCAGTGAGTTTGGGAGGGACACTTGATGTTCAGTGACATGGACTGAAGTGAAATGCTGGCTTTGGGTGTCTCTCAGGGGTCACTGGGACAGGAGGCTGCAGGGCTGGCTTTGTGGTCGTGCAGCCTGTGTGGTCGCATGGGGACTGTGCTGCTCTAACGCCCTCCAGTGTTGTCTTGAGGTAATACTTTTTTTAACAAAAGGCCCCTTGTCTCCATGTTGCACAGTGCCCTGTGAATTCTAACCACAGAGGCAGGAGATGAACTGCAGAAAATTCCCAGAGTCCGGCTCTCCCTGACTGAGAGTCTTTCTCTTGGTGTGTGCACGCAGAACAGTTTATCTGGAAACACAGCCTCGTTCACAGCCAGTGGAACCTACCAGGTTTGGTTGGCTTCAGTGAGATCTTCTACAGGAGAAAAACTATAAACATATCTCTATCCGGGCAAGGGTATGGTCTCCCCAAAATGTGGAGATGAGTTTATCTTTTGAAGCCAAAGCCCATATGGACCTGGGCAGGCCCTTGGCTGCCTGCAGAAGTGACCTATCCAAAGAGATGATTTGTCAAGATTTTGCTAATGGAGAGAAGTCAAGACTATTCCAGAAAATCTGGGAGCTTACCATAGGCTGAGCACAAGGAAGGATGAGAGGCTTTGTGATTCTTCGTAGGGCGGGGCTCTAGTCATTGTGCCTTGTTCTTTAGATCCAGAATGGCTTGAGTTGCTGCTAGGGAGGAGGCCCAAAGCCCCAGAGTGATTCCAATTGGACCCCTGCCCCCTCCTGGGGAAGGGGTGCCGAGGATTCTGGGGAGACTGCATCAGTTCACACAGGCCAGCTGCCGGCCTCATCCTCTGTCTCCTGAGTCTTCATGGGACTTGCTCCATCCCTCTGCACCTGTGAATAAGTAGGCTCTGGCACCCACCCCTGCACTGGACTGGTGGCCTCCC